ATCCCTAATGAGATGGATTGGCCAGGTGGCATCATTGATGGACTCAAGTGTGGCAGCAGTAGTGAGGTTGGCCCAGGATCAGACATTGTTTCATTCTGCTGTGCATGGGGTCGCTATGAGTCGGTTCCGACTCGATGGCACCTGACAACAACATTATCTGGTTTTAAGAAGACTTTGTGGGATTAAACCTTTTTGGCTGAAGGTTTAAAGATAATCTCAAAGCAATAGTTTTAGGAAGTCACACAGCCTTTATGACTCCAGAAAATCTGTAGTCCATGAGAATTTGAAATTTGAGCAACAGAATTTCTTCATTCTAATAAACTTTATTATTCTTCCTGCATAGTTTTTGCTTTTTATATCTTAAGAAATCCTTCCCTACTTAAGTTTATATTCTCTTTTATCTTCTTCTAAAATAAATACTCGTGTTTCTCACTTTTGTCCTTAACCCACCTGGAATTAACTTTTTATTGACTTTTAGTATACATACAAAAAGAAAAAGCATGCAAAAGAAGCGTATGGCTTGGTTCATCATCCCAAACCAAGCAAACTCCCATAATCAGCATTCTGATCAAGAAATAATCCTCATAGAATCCCTCCTCTCAAGGGTGACTACTCTCCTGACCTCTGCCACCATGGGAACATGAATAAAATAGGACTCCAATTAATATTTTTCATATGGATGACCAATTGTCCCAGCAACATTTGTTCTGTGGTCACTTTCCTCATTGACCTCAATACCCCTTTGTAGCACAGTTAAGTACATGAGGATACTTTGGGTGTGTTTCTGGCTCTCTATTCAATTCTGATGGTCTAGTGTTACATTCCTGATCAAATATCACACTATCCCAATTACTGAACTTTCTCTAATAGGTCTGGTGAAGGGTCTTTGTCTTATTTTTTTTCTCTTCTTTAAGATTTTCTAGGCCCTTTTAGGAGTATTCGTGGAGTGCTTCAGGTTTAATGTGCTGGACTGCAAAATCGGTTTGAACTGTAAGGTCAGCAGTTCAAGCTCATTGATTGCTCCTCAGAAACCCCATGCAGGGTCATCAGAGTCAGAACCAGCTTGAGAGCATTTAATAACAACAACAACAACAACAGCCTCTTTTAGGAGTTTTGGAGCAGTGCTGTAGGATTACCACTGGATTACTACTAACTGCAAGGTCAGCAGTTCAAAGTTATCAGTCACTCCTCCGAAACCCTATACAAGGTACCTACTCAGCAGCACTTAACAACAGGCTTTTCCTGCCCACCACCATAACTTTTTACTGTGAATTGAGTAAAGATTTACAGACAAGATCATCAGCTTTACATTAAAAAAATCATATGCTTTATTTCATCATATTTACAATTTCCTCCATGCAACAATACTTATCCTGCTTCCTTCCTGTGGTTCCTATTTGCATTCCACTCACCTCAACTTTGTCCTTAGAAAAATGTTGTTCTTTTGATTTTGAATGATTGACCATTCCAGTGTGAGTATACCTTGCTAGTGTTGTTATCACCTCCCCCCCCCCCCCCATAAACCTATCTACTGCTCAGCTGAACATTGGGCTTTGAGAGTGAGTTCCTTTCCAGACCAGAAGGGTGGTTGAGGGCCATAGTCTCGGGCTCCTCCAGTCTCTTTCTGACCAACAATCCCATTTTTTTGGTGATCGTGTGTATTAATTATTTTTTAGTTTTGTTCCATGTTTTCCCCTACTCTATCTGGGACCCTCTAATATGATCCCTATCAGGGCAGTTAGTAGTGGTAGCTGGGCACCATCTAGTTCTTCAGGTCTCAGAGTCCTGGACTGATGTTCACATGTTCCATTAGTCCATTAGACTAATTGATCCTAAGCCTCTTCAATTCTTATCACTTGTTTCTTCTACACATGGAGAGGAACAGCTGCATCTAAGGCTATTAGCTTTCAAGATCCCAGAAGGTACTCACCCAAGCAGCATGTAAAATATTGTCTTTGAGGGCTATGTTATGCCAATTGACCATGGTGTCCTTTGACAGAAAAGGAAAAAAAAAAAAAAAAAAAAAGACCAAAATGGATGTGAGAAGAGATTCTGAAATTTGCTCACCAGCGTGTAGAGTGGAAAATGCAAATGGAAGAAATGAGGAAGTCAAACAGCTAAACAGAAAATTTCAAAGGGTAGATTGAGAAGACAAAGTCAAGTAGTATAATGAAATGTACAAAGAGTTAGAAAGCCAAAAGCAAAGAACACACTCAGCATTTCTCAAGCTGAAAAGAATTGAAAGCAAAATTCAAGCATCAACTTTCAGTATTAAAGGATTCTATGGGCAAAAACTTAATACTGCGGGTTAATGTCCTGGAGTGCAAGGTCTGTTTGAACTGCAAGGTCGGTAATTCAAGATCACCAGCCACTCGGAAATACTACACAGGGTCGTTATGAGTCAGAACCAACTGAGGGCACTTAACAACATGGGTTTCCAAGGCTGAAAATTTGCACAGAAGCAAATGGCCACCTCTTTCTTCGGTGGAGGTGTTGGTGGATCTTTGGGTTGGCAGACAAACGCTTTAATCATTGTGCCACCTGGGCTTCTAGGTGATGCATATGATTGAAAAATTCACCCAGAATAAGGTTTGCTTTGCAGGTCCCCTCTCCAGAGGCAACAACTGTTGTTGATTCCTAGTCGGCTTCAAGTAGCAGTATATAGTCATTCCCACACCATCTACTCGATCGCTCTAATAGTTAAAGTGCCATAGAGTCCGTACAGACTCAGCGACTCTACAGGATTTCCAAGAGCAGATGGTAGATTTGAACTGCTGACCTTGCGTTTAGCAATCCAATGCTTATCTTACAGCACCACACCGGTGCTTTGCGCTCCATCTAGCTCTTTCTTAAGCAGTGACTGTGGCTTCCTAGACTGGGCTGAGTGTGGCAGTCTCCTGACTGAAACTTCGAGAGCCTTCGAAGCCATAGTACTGAAACGCCCCAGCTTTCTCTTAGCCCGCCCTCTCTCCTTCCAGGTCCGGCGCCTTCTCCTTAACCTCTCGCAGCACTCAGTTTTCAGGTTGTTTTGTCTGAGAAACTTTAACTCTACCACAGCACCAGTCCGGTTTACACAGGAGCTCCTACGCCACTTAAAATCACATATCTACGGGCGGATTCTCCAATGCCCCTCCCTTGAAGGAGGAGCGTCAAGAGGTCTGTTTGGTTCCCGGAAGAGGAAAATTTGCGAGCATGCGCTAGTCCCAGAAACTCTCCTCACTCAGTCAGGAGTTTCCCCATACCCCTCGCAGGAAGAAGAGTGAGCATGCGCAAGGGAGACTGAGCAGGCGCAAAGCCGACTAGGCAGGCGCAAAGAAGACTTGGATATGCGCGAAAGACTGCACGGGTGGAGCCATGACTGCATATCCCAATAGGCCGTGGGGACATTTTTCGTCTACGCGTGACCGGTAACTTCCGGCGTGGAGGGGCGGGGTGGAGCGCGAGGCTGAGCTAGCTGCTGAAGTAGCAAGGGGAGCGGCCCAGTGGCCGGTGGGCACTAGCCGCCATGGAGGCCGTTCCCCGCATGCCCATGATATGGCTGGATCTGAAGGAGGCTGGTGACTTCCTCTTCCAGTCCGCCGTTAAGAAGGTGAGAGTGCCTCCCCCTCCCGCCACCTCCGGCGCGTCTCCGTCGTCTTCCAGCGCGTGACGCCCCTAGCGCGTCCGTCATCTCCCGGGCCCCCTCACAGTGTCCAGTGAAGCCTGGAGGGGTCTTTGCCACTATCACTAAGCTTGGCCCACCCCCTTACGCCAGCTGACTATTCTCTTACCCCCTCCATACGCCCCTTCTGGGTTAATACCAGTAGTTTTGCTGGAACCCGCTTTCCGAATTCTTCCTGGGGCCCTCCGCGCTTCTCCCCAAGGCACCACTTCCTCGTGTGACACTTTGGTGTCGGTTCTGCCCTTACCTCCCCCACTGCAGGAGCGCCCCTTGGGATCGAGAGGCGGCCTTTACCCTCTTGGTTGGACCTCTTGACTCAGTCCACGACCTATTTTGAGACCGACGCTGGTGAAATTCTGCATGGTCTCAGAATTACCCTATTTGGAATCCCCTTTGGACCAAAAGATATAAATCTGTGGTATTTTGGGAAGTGTTAACTATTTTTCATAAGGAGCTCTGGTAGCATAGTGGGTTACGAGTTGGGCTGTTAAACTTAAGGTCAACAGTTCGAATCGGTCAGCTGCTCCGCAGTAGACAGATGAGCCTTTATGCTACCATAAAGATTTACAGCCTCAGAAACCCTGTGGTTTCGATGAGTCGGAACCGACTCCACGTCACATCACCACCACTATTTTCCATGAAATCTCTGGGTGGTGCAAATTCTAAGTATGTTCAGCTTGAAGTCCACACTGAGGCACCCTGGAAGAAAGGTCTAGCTGTCTACTTCTAAAAAATCAGCCAGTGAGGCTACCCAGAATGGAGGGGCTACAGAGGCAAGAAGTGACTGGCTTACAAGCTTTTAAGAGGGAACCTAGATCCAGAGGGTGAGGAGCAAGGTAGAATCTCAACTGAGTAGTATCCTTTCTGTCTAGGTCTGGCAGATGAAAGGAGATGCGGATAGGTCTCTTGCGATACAATAGCGAATAATTGTTAATCAGGACTGATTGTAAGGGCTGCAAATGTAAAGGTAGACGTTTTGTGGCAAAGGGAGGGGAGTGGTTGACTTTGCAGTCTAGGAGCAGAGGTCCCCAGGACCATCAAGGGAGAAGAGCGGAGAGCAGGACCCTACCCAGAGAAGCAGTGATGCCATGGATGGAGGCAGAGAGGAGGACGTGGTGAGATAGAGTGACTGGGGACTTTGGACTCGGAGAGGGGCTGTGTACTGAGGACCGGGGGCAGGCTTGCGGGGTATACCCTGTGGTTGATGAATGATGCATGGAGGGGATTGTAACCATGGCAAGGAAATGATATACTACGGGATCATTGTGAAGCTAATGTCCTCCCATGTAAACTATCACATAATTCACAATAAAGCATTAAATTAAAAAAAAAAAAAAATCAGCCAAAGAAAATCTTACGGAGTACAGTTCTACTCTGAGACACATGGGATCGCCAGGTATTGGAGTAAAGTCTAAGCAACTAGTTACTGTTTTTTATAAGTGCCCAGAAGTATAAATGGTAGTGTAGCATCCAGAGAGATCTTATGAATCGTTATATTGGACCATTAGTTGGACAGACCAGGCAGGGTGTTAACTGAGGCCTCTGAGGAGTCATCAGATGTGGTTGATCATCAGGTTCCCCTGTGATGCCCAAGGATGCTTTGGGAAGGAAGGACCACCTGGTAGCACTGAGCGCCAGCGCAGAACTGAAAAGGAACCACCAGGAGGGTGTTGCAGGTGGGCAACCTTCTGGTTAGTTACTATGTTGTTAAGTACTGTCAAGTTGGTTCTGAATCAACTCATAGTAACCCTATATACGGTTTCAAGCCGGTAAATCTTTGTGGGAGTAAAAAAGCCTCGTTGTTCTCCCAAGGAGTGGTGGGCTTGAACTGCCAACCTTGTCGTTTGCAGTCCAATGTTTATCCTACAAAGCCTCGGACTCTCCTATTTATAGTGTTGTCGTTAAGTGCTGTCAATTCGGTTCTGACCCATAACGACCCTGTATAGGGTTTCCAAAGAGCAACTGGTGAGCTTGAACTGCCGACCTTGCAGGTCAAATGGCTTTGCAGTCTGGCGCATTAACTCACAGCGCCACACCAGGACTCCTAGTTATAGTGAAGTAAGCCCCAGAGGATCTAGATTGTACACCTTACATCAAGTACTTGACAAAAGATGTAATAGAAAGAAAATGGGTTTGGAAATAGTGTTCCAAGAAGCTGCCTCCATTCCTCTCTTTGCATTTCTCTGGCCTCATTTCAGACCCTAACAATTTGTATTCTTTTGAGTTCTTCATTTAGCCTCTTTAGGCCTGTTTCCTCATCTGAAAACCCAGAAAATTAGACTAATTCCTGAGTTTTGTTCTCATCGACAGGTTTTAGTCTTTCCCTGTTTGCTCTTTAATACAAGTATAATAAGATGAATTTTTTAAGATGCAACAAAATAGTTCAAGTTTTGTTCTTGCAGAATAAAGACCATTATTCTTTGTTGTTCAGAGTTCTTTCTGAGCTGACTCAGCTTGTCTGCTCCCATAAAGATTTATAGCCTCAGAAAACCTGTGCTGCGTTGAAATGAGTGGAATCTGCTCAATGGCATTGGGGGATGTGCCCTATTATGTACTTCTGAAAGGAGCTCTGGTGTTGCTGTAGGGTAAGCACTGGACTGCAGACCACAGGGCAGCAGTTTATACCTTTCAGTTGCTCCAAGATGAAGAGAAAGATGGGCGACCTCCCATCAAGATTTACAATCTTGGAAATCCTATATAAGGGATGCTATGAGGTGGAATCAACTCAATGGCAGTGATTTGCTTTTAAAAATATTTTTTGTGCCCTACTATGTGCTTCCTGGTGTGGTGCTGTGGGTTAATGCACCAGACTGCAAAGCCATTTGAACTGCAAGGTCGGCGGTTCAAGATCACCAGAAACTCCTCAGAAACCCTATACAGGGTCGCTATGGGTCGGAACTGACTTGCTGGCACTTAAAAACAACAACAACATGTGCTTCTGAAAGGAGTCCTGATGGCACAGTGGTTAATCACTTGACTGCTAACTGAAAAATCTGTTGTTTGAACCCACCAGCCTCTCCATGGGAGAAAGTTGTGGCAGTATGTTTTCGAAATGATTACAGCCTTGGAAACCCTATGGGGTGTGGTCTCCTCCATCCTACAGGATCGCTATGAGTTAGAATTGACAGTGACTTTTTTAATGTGCTTCTGGTTCAGGTAGCACAGATTCTGGTCACAGCCACTTGATGCACCCTTAATATGCTTTGTGTGTTCTTTCTTCAATACTATGGAATTCCTACGGCCTGGAGGAGCTCTCAACTTTGCTCTGTGCGATGGGGATGGGGCTTTTCTTTATGCAGATTTCCTCCACTATCTGAAAGTAGAGTGTTCCATGAAACCTTTTATAAGCAAAATAGCAATTGACTAATGACTGCAGGAAAATTTTTGAGTGATCTCAGTCCCCAAAAACAACTTAACCAAATTATCTCAAATAACACACGAAACTCAAAATAACACTAACATACAGTGTTGTCAAGTCCTCATGTGGTGCTGTAGAGTAAACACTGCACTGGTAACCCACAGCCTGTTCTCGGAAACTTGTTACAGGGTTAGTATGACTTGGGACCTACTTGACAGCACACAACAACAACAATTCAGTGCTCACAGACACCTTGCAAAGCTATGGCAGCTTCATGCTGAGTGTAGTTCCTGGGGAAGGAGCTTGGTGATGGTACTGACGCTACTTGGGGTGCGCATTGCCTCTAATGGCTCACTGCAAAGCCAGCACTGAATGCCAGTTTTGATTTTCATCGATTTCTGTAAAAGTGAAAATCTTCAGAATTCTTTTGGTTAGTGAGAACTAATACTAATGTTGGTCTTTCATAAATGCAAAATTGTGGAAAGTGAACTTTTGAAAAATAAGGGATACCTGTTTTGGTTTTGTTTCATTTTTCAAAGCCCATATTAAGCTGTATTTTCTACGAAAATTTTCTTGATCCTTTTCATCTCAGTTAATCTTTTCCTTGTCTAACTCTACATTCTGTTCCTGATGAGTTATGTGTGCTAAGTGGTTCTTATGTATCTCCCCTGTTGAATGTTAAGTTTCATGAGAGGTAGCTCCATGTTCCTTACAGCCTAGCAGGGTACTCTCTGCATACTTGATTCTTAGGATAATGTTTCTTAAATGGCCGAATGACAGTTTAGAGGGACATGACAGAGACAATGGCCATAAATATGGATAAAATCTTAGCCTAGAAACTCAAAGTAGAGTTGACTGTGATGACGCGAATGGAGTAAAACCCGCGGGACCTTCATTTCTGATGGGGCACAAAATGAAGAGACACAGCTGTAAACATTCATTGAAAATTGGAGCATGGAATGTATGAAGTATGAATCTGGAAAAATTGGAAGTTGTCAAAAATGAAAGGGAACACATAAACATCGATATCTTAGACATTAGTGAACTGAAATGGACTGGGATTGGCCATTTTGAATCTGACAACCACATGGTTTACTATGCTGGAAATGACAAATTAAAGAGGAATGGTGTTGCCCCATTCATTGTCAAAAAGAACATATCCAAGTCAGTCATGAGGTACTATGCTGTTTGTGATAGGAAAATATCCATACACCTCAAGGGAAGCCCAGTTAATACCACTATTATTTAGATTACGCACCAACCACTAAGCCAGTGAGGATGAAATAGAAGAATTCTATCAACTTCTTCAATCTGAAATTGATGGAACATACAATCAAGATCTGTTGATCATTACTGGTGATTGGAATGCAAAGGTTGGGAGCAAAGAGGAAGGATAAGTAGTTGGAAAATATGGCCTTGGTGATAGAAATGATGCTGGAGAATGCATGATAGAATTCTGGAAAACCACTGATTTGCTCATTTCAAATACTTTTAGACAGTGTAAGAGACGACTGTACACATGGAACTCACCAGGTGGAATAAATAGAAATCAAATTGACTACATCTTCGG